GGGAGGGCCCGGGCCACCGCTCGGGACTTCCTTCTCCTCAGGCCTTATGTGTACGTAACGTTTCTCTTTTGTAGGGCTGTGGCCAGCTGCAGGGGCAAAAGCCCACCGCCACTGAAAGAACAGAGGCAGGCTGCTTCTAAACGGGCTTGTCTTCACCCCTCGCTTCCATCTCCTCGTATTCAAATTTGGAATTGTTTCCTTACTGGTTCACGTTGCGAGGAAAACCTGTTTGACACAGTATTTGGGCATCACGCGGTGTTTTGGGGTCTCCTCAGGGTCTGCCCCAGCTCACCAGGCTCCTTGACCAGGAGGCTGAGAGGGTGCCTGGGCTGCTCTTCTGTGCTGTGCTCCCTCCTGCTCTTGCCCTGAAGGTACTGGAAGGGTCTCATTTTTTATCAGTACTGCTGACCACAAGTCAACCCTTCCCCCACCAACTTCTCAGATCCAGCAGTCCACACGGCTTAAGGTTCAGCATTACCGGTGAAAGCAGCATGCATTAGCTACAACAGCAGGACACAGCAGGATTCTGTGTTGTCAGTCATTCGCCATCAGCAACTTAAGCCCAGGTTCCAAGAGATGCAGTAGTAAAACAGCTTTGAAAGCACCCTTAAGACTTCTCCACCAAAACTCATGTGATATGTTTAATCTTCCAGACCACTTCCCCAAGCACTCACCTGCCCTGCAGCCTGGACCTCACCTCCTCAGTCAGTCCAGCCTTAAAGCAACATCTGACCTTTCTTTCAGAAGGATAAGGACATGCATCAAGCAGCTCCTCTTCATAAAGGTCTTGGGATAAAGTAGCAGGTTACCACTAAGGACTCAAACCTCCACGCAGGTCGAGGCACAACGAGTGCAAATCAGACTTACCATTTTCTGTTGCTTTCAGCCACTGCTTGCTGGCTGTCTTCTCTCTTACTCTGCACAGAATTAGTGCAGAGCAAATGGTCACAGAAAACTTGCTCCTACAGATCTGCCTTATTTCAGCCCCATTATTCCAGGAGCAGTACTCCAGAGTGATCCTGCTGTGGCTGCTGGAGGCTGCTCTGGCCTGCTTCCTGCTGCAGGCAAGGCCAACATCTCCGTTTCTCTTTGCATATTTCTTAGTTACTTTCCCATTCTGACTCAACTCTGTATCTGATCCTCCCACAGTCAAGGTTTTGCCAATTCATCTCTGCCTGTACCTCTCCAGAAACCACAGCAGATTTCTGAACTTCACGCTTCCCTCGGCACTACTTTGCTTCCCTATAAGGTGACCTTACTTCTCTTTGCTGCTTCAGCCTTGTAGCCCTAAACACACTTGGCTCCTGCTCCAAACCACTTTGAGAATCCTTATGCCCCTCCCATTCTTCTGTCTCCCTCCCCACTCAACATCTTTTTCAACAAACTCGTAGGGAGTTTCTGTTATTTTTTGTTTTGCTTTTATAATACCTATTCATTTGTGATTTGGAACATCTTAACTTGCCTTTAACACAGTTCCCCTTTTCTTTCATTGCTTTAATTCCACCCTTACACACACCAGTGATGGATACATTTCTGCCCGATCCTTTTATCTTATGTTCTCTTGCTAAGAACTCATAGCCACCACATTTGTGTATTCAAAGCTGCCAGAATTTTTCCACAGGTCCATGAGTGCCTTACAGCTCATCCTCTGTACGTGCCTCATCTCCGCTTCACAGCTCATCTCCATATCCATTGAGAAGTTCTGCAGTTTCTCTACTGTTTTGCATTAATCAGAATCACTGTTACTCAAGTTCAGCTGAAAAGCTATCGGTGGGATCCTGATGAATTTTAGATACACTTGGTGAGCACATGGCAACCAAACTGATTAGTGCACATTTAAACTGTTCTGAAGTCAATTATCTATTTAGCATTGACAGTGCTAAGTCCCGTGATTCAAGCCCCTCCTGCCTCAGTTTCTCCTACAACATCTGACCATTAATGTGGGTTTCCATTCTGACATCCTCACTTGTCCAGATTTCCAAATCATCCACTTGCATATTTTTGCCATTTGCAGTATTTTTTCTTGTTTGTGTAATGGACATTACCATTTCCTTTCAGTAGGCTATCACACCAGGCAGCTTGCTTTAGCTACAGAATTCAACCTGTGATTTTCAGCTGGTGCTATCTGATGTTAAAAAAGTATGTAAGCTTTCAGGTGACTTGCCAGTGCTGAGTGTAATCTGGAATGTTAGATTCCAAGGGTCAGACTGCAGCACATAATTATTTACCTGCATAAGACAGAAAAAAGCACAAGAATGAACTAAACTCCGGGAATTAAGAATCGCACTCCAGAAACAAGTACTACAACGCTGGTCCACAGCCATGCTGTGCCGATGTGGTTAAAGAGGCTGCCAAATCTCTCTGCAATTGTTCTCTTTTAATTTCTCCCTTCCCCCAAGCAGATGCAGTGCATGACTCCTCTGAGGTAGTGGATGAAGTACTGGCGCGGCCATCATCATTCAACACAGTCAAGGGAAAACAAGAGCCCAGTGTCAGAGCACTTGCCAACCTGTCGTGGGCGAAGTCACAAGACGAGCTCTCTATTGAATTTCAGCAGAAGCAGAAAGATGCCCAAGGGATCCTGAAGCTACAGCTGGACAGGGATGAAAGGACAATTCTGCTGATGAGAAGGCTCGGCTGCACACGGAGTACTCCAAAGGAAGGCAGAATTTGAAAACCCGAATTTTCACTGAGCCATACACACTCCCCGAATCACCTGTTTTTACTAACTTTCAGCTTATAGGGAATAAAATCCGTATTCTTCAACAGCCCCTAGAAGTTACCGTAAACTCATGTTGCCACCTACTGACAATTAGAAACAGCAACCAAGCTCTTTCAATCCCAAGCAACTCAGGCTTTCCATTAAGTAATTTCCTCCCCATTTCCTTGTATTTATCAACTGTTCTGATGGCTGAATGCAAGTCTTCTAAATATTTGCTTCCAGTTAGTATCTTATGACTAGCTTTCATCTTCCAAGGGTTACTTTCTGTTTTCAAAATAAGGTGAATTTTTAAAAAATTTTCTAAACTCTGTCAACTCTCATTTGACAAAAAGCAGCTAATCCCTCCCAGTTATTAGACCGAGAGAGATTATTTAAGCCTTCTTCTGTCACAAGTAAGCACAGATTGTCTCTTCACAAATTCGTACATAACTCATCTGGACAACAGGCTTACAATTCAGAATCTTTAATGACTAGCTTATGTTTTTCATACCCTTAATAAGCAATCCCCAAACCTGTTGGTTTAAATTCAAGAAATACAAACACCTCTGCAAGAGGCAGCACTGTAGTCGAGGCAGGCTCTGGGTCAGGGAGAGGGAATTGGAACCAGGACTGTGACAGTCCTTCCAGCTTTTTGCAGTGCTGTTCCTGCCCTCCATCTGCTTTGTCTGTTGACAACACACCAAAACAGTCTTCTGGTACATGAAGTTGTGAGAATTAGGCCAACCCATTGTAGGACCCTCGCACATTACTAAGACGTAAATAACAGTAGAATAGGATCCATTTAGGAAGCTGATGTAAGATTCAGTTAGTTTTGCTGGATGGAGGTCAGTCATTCCTTATTTCTTTATTCTGAGTAGGTCACAGGGGAGAAGTGTCCATATTTGCATACAGCTGCGAGAATCAAACTGGAACAGAGCACTGTAGCAAGGAGAGTCACAACACACACTAAGGAGCTATGCTGTGTGAGCCCCACTGGAACCTGCAGAATCAATTCCTCACGTGCCTGCAAAGGAAAATACATGGATTATACACAATTAACATGCTATTTCTTTTTGACTGCAACTTAGGGGATTAGCAACCTGACCACTATTTAAAGGCCCTTTGCTAAGGTTTCTTCTGGGATACGACATCAAAACCGAGAGGGGACACGCACCTTTCAATTTAAAGCAGAGTGCCAGCTGCTCCTGCAGTACAAAGCTCAATAATTTTATCTGCTAGCATTTTAAATGGTAGCCATTTATAACCTTTGTATCTTTGTTCTTACAATAGGTGTGCCATTGAGGATACGTACATAATACAGCATTGAAGAGAGAAGCTCTCAGAATGAGAATTCCACAGATCACCGAGAAGCCAGTTTTCTCCAAGGAAAGCAACTATTTGGTTCCTCTGTAATGCAGAAAGCTCCAAAAAGTTTTTGGAGAAGAGCTGCAGATATCCCAGACCTCTGTGGGTGCCTTACGTATAGGAAGGTATGTGCATAACAAAAGCAACATATTTGTTACAGGACAAATTAGCCTTATTTCTGAATCTCTACGCTACTGCAACCCTTTTGATACTTCAAAGGCAGTTGTTGACCACACTAAAGATCCAACCTTCCTTGATTTTGAACACGGAATAAACTTCACCTATTCCTTGATACTTAGCCAATCAGATAATGACCAAATAAAAGTGGTGATACTTTTAAGTTATCCCTTGAACCTTTGCAGTTTTTTACCCCTCTAATCTCCTTCTCTGGAGACTTTCAAAACCCGCTTGGACGTGTTCCTGTGTGGCCTGCTCTAGGGGATCCTGCTCTGGCAGGGGAGTTGGACTGGGGGTTGGACTAGATGATCTTTCAAGGTCCCTTCCAACCCCAAACATTCTATGATTCTAGTTTTTCTTCGCTACTCCTCTGAAGCACCTATTTTGCAAAGACCTTTCTTAATCTGACCACTGCTAATTACAGTCTAGGATTCCAAGTGAACTATTAAAAAAAGGCAAGGAGAGCAGCCACCATAAAGGATTAGAAGAGCACCGTGACTACGAGCATGTCAGAAGAGCAGAACACCCATTAAAATGGGTCAGAAAGGAAGAAGAGAGCCTCCCTAAAGCGGAATCACACAACCAGGGTTTTACTGATTAGTCCTGTGCTACAGAAGTTGCTAATGTCAGAAAAAAAGGCATCAGTTGTTAAATGAAAACCAAGAGTTCACAACAGAAATAAGAACTCACAGGTTTGTGCGTTATGCGGTACCACTGACAGGGGCCGTTCGTTTTGCCTGAACAGGGAGCTTCCACTTCAGCAGGCTTCCAACACTCTGCTGACAGGCGATCTATGGGAGATGTTAATGCATCAGCAGGATCCAGATGGGTTTAAGCAATACGGCCTGCAAGACTTTTCCAAATAAGGTATCTTTCCTCCACAACAGCTTGACAAATTCTACTCCCTGAAAGCCAATAGGTGAAACAGCACCAACAGAAATACGCCAGCTAAGCTGCACAGTCAAAGTGGTTCTGGGCAGTCCTTTTCGTGAACTTTGCAACTCAGTAGGTACCCAAGAAAGAATCTCACTGTGTGGTACCTTGGCCTTTCTGTCCTTAACAGAATACTTCCAGTGCTTTCATATTAATAATAAATATGTTTCCCTGCTCATAAGTAATAAATATAGCAGAAAAATGGGAAGATTTCACACTCCTTTTTTAACTGATCAGTGAAGATAAAGGAGCTGGGAATCATTAGCACATTTGACTTGTCAGTTAGCATGAATTATTTTGTGAAAGGAAATACAATTTGTAGCAAAAATGTTTTACATTGTTCAGATAACCTAAAATATTGTCACTGTACATTGGGTTCTTGTTACACAGGAGTCTGAGACGCCAACCATTCTAACCTTCAGACAGTTTTCTACATTCCCCTCTCATATACAGGGAATACAAGAAGAAAGTGTTAGAAAACTTCTCAAAATACTTTGATTACTCTACATATGTGATAGTGAATATTAAATACACCCTGTGTGGCTCCAGCTGCCAAGAGAAACACTGCGAAAACGAGGTCTGAGCAGCAGACCTTTAACAAACCAGGGCCTGCCAGGATACTGACAAACAGCCTTAGAAGCCCAGGCAGCCAGCTGCAGTACAAGGGCCCAACAGCAGCCATGCAGCATCAGAAAATATCTGTTGACAATTCATCTGCCTTTGGTCAGGCAGCAGCAGCATTCAAAGAGGAAGACAACACGGTCTTGATCAGGACCATCATGTTCCCCTCACGTTCACATGACTACATCTCTGGAAGACAAATACAAAACCAGATTCCAAGCTCTGGACTGCCCACAGTTATTGCTCTCTCCCCAGAAAGAACACATAATGTGAATCTCACTGTCACAGTAGCAGACCAGTATTTCAGGGCTCTTCAGAACAACCAGTGCTTCCTCACTCCCTTCTGCTGGCCGGTGGTACCGCCCATGCACAGGCAACGCAGCTCTAAAACAGTGAGAGCACTGAGGGTCAGGTTCCATGTACAGAAGAACAAGAAGATCTGCAGCTGAGTACTCAGGAGCCTCCACATCAATGGCCTCAGGAATTAACACCGCCTGCGAGTGGAGGAAGGTATAGATGCAGCTGTGATCAGAATCAACACAAGAGAGGGATGCAGGAAAAAATACGTATGAACATTTTGTGCATGATTCTGGGATTTAAGAGGCACCGGCTGCTGTGGTAACCTAGTGCAGCATCAGAAGAGAAAACTATTTTCCTCATTCTCTTTTCTAATATTGAGCCTGATTTTGTGGTCAGGAAGATGAAGTTGAAAAGTCTGTCCTCCAGCTGTTCCAAACTAACTTTTTAAGCCCATCTCCAACGAGTGATACTTACATGTGAGAATTTTATAGTGCAACCATGCCTAAAGCCAAATGTAAGAGGTATCAGCTTAATGATGCCTCTTAGGCATAACAATGCTTACATGCAAGGCCTATACCAGCACTTGTAAGCATCCCAACAGCAGAAATTGTCCAGAAACTCTGCATCCGTATGTTTTAACTAAATTAAATGCCTAAGAAAATTACCTTAAAGCCAAGGCCTTAGCACATCTCTTTACTCAAAAGGCAAAGCAAAGACTGGAAAGCAATATGAAAAGCTGTGATGAAAAAAAAGCTGTGAAGCTACTGAGTCTGAACACGCAGCATGCTACTGGGAGCCCGCCACCACCTCTTTTGTGGGGGTTAACCTTCCATCTCCTCAACCTGAATAGTTTTTACTGTGGTTGCTCATCTGGGGCTGAGAAGAGTTGCAGTGGCTCCCCTGTACACACACCTAGGTGTAGAAATGTCAGCAGCGCATGACACAAAACACCCAGCACCGGTGATGCTGATCAAGCTGAGAGATACGATGAGATGTCACAAAGATGATACTGCGTGGCATCTCCTTCCAGGAAAAGACACTGATCACCCCGGTTCAACGAGTCAGATAATGACTACAGATTACAACTTCCTGACTATACTCGTTCTTATCTGAGTAACTGCAAGATGTCAGCTTTGGGGTTGTTACCCTTGTTAAATTGTGCTGCTGCAACGATGCCAGCTCATAGGGATCCACGTAGATTCCTGGTGGAAGACGAGCTCTAGCTGCCACTGCGCATCGTCCTGCATCCTTCCCCACTATGCCAAGTTCTACCTTTACCAGGAGGCTCCTTCAAACAAAAAACAAACAACGTTTATACCCACATTTCAAAAGATGGCACAAAACCCCCTCAGAGGCATACTCCCAAACACACAGAGATGTGATGCAGCTCTCATACTATCTGTAACAAATTCACCAAACAGTTCTCAGTTGAGCCACGTTGTCCTTCTCTGGTTAAGATAACACAGTTCACCCTAATTCCACATCCATGACTAAAATTAGGTTTCAACTCTTTTGTTACCCTCTCAGAACTACCAACAGCCTCCACACAAATCTTAGGGGTCTCTTGTTCTTCCTCCACTATAGCTTGTAATTGTTTATTACTTGATCACGCTAATACATTCCTAGTGCCTAGCCATGCCTACAGACCGTAGTTCAGTGAATGGATACAACTGTGCACAACTTAAAACAAAAGCTTCTTCACACATAAAATTACCTGGTGCATTATTCTGATCCGGCACCAGGGTGACAACTTACCTGTGAAACCCCTCTTTCAGAAGCTCCTGTGTGACAGTGGCTTCCGGACAACCAGCCTGCACATCTAAGATAATACAGAACAAAAAGGTGTTTGCAGAACAGCACACAGAATTATCACACTTTAACACGGGAAGTCATATAATATATCAATACGTCATCTACAAAACCTTTCATGGCTGCAGAGAAACAGTATTTTACTGCAGTATTTTACAGCAGAAGAGATTCCTCAGGACACTGGCCGAGCTGCAGTTCCCCAATCCAGAGCCCAGCCCTACAACCAAGTACGCGCACACCGTTCCACACATGTACAAACGATCGCTTTCACCATGAAAGCCCGAACCGCTCGGCGTCAGTACGAGGGGAGCCCAGGTGCGCAGGCCTGGATTAAGCGGCGGGGAGGGCCGAGGCAGGGCCAAGCCAAGCACTCGCGGCCCACGCCGAGTTCACTGACACAGCCCGGCCGGCTTCAACCACCGGCAC